TAATGTCGGGGGCTTAAGTGGAGAGGAAATGTTTTGAGAATGATGAGGGCAATGAATGTACAAATGCGCTTTACACAATTGATGTATGCATGGAAGATGGTCAGAGTTGTATGAGCCCCTAATAAAATGATTTAAAAAAAAGAAAATGTATTAGACTCCTTTATCAGAAACATAATGTTCCCTAATTTCAACCGAGAATTTTAAACCTGCGAGGCACTGCCTGCTTCCATGTTAATGTTCCATTAACAGTCTATAGATGACTTATCACTGTAATAGAGCCATTCTGGGTGCACACCCCACACACAACACGCTCAACCTGGTTCAAAATGAATAGTAAAGTTTCCTGCTACATGTTCAAATATGGGTACCTCAGTTTTGTCTTGGTTATATGTATCTATTTAATTCTTTTATTTACAGGCATTACTTAGCAATCATTTAAGAAGGAAGAATGAGTTTGCTGCTTCTCAATTTGTCATTACAAATTGTTAAAATGTATAATAAGTACATATGAAAACACTCAGCTGAGTTATTTGAAAAATCTTCTTATCACTATTTGCCAAACTTTTGACCTCGGTGTTTTATATTGCTCTCAGTCATCCCAGTTTTTCCTCTCACTTATTACTTTGCCATGCTTTTGAAATTCTCAGAAAACACTGAAAAAAAGAAAATAGCACTGAGGAGAAAAAAAGGGAAAAGAAATAAAGAAAAGCTGCTGATGGAGTTAGGAAATTTCTGATTATTAAAGTCAGTGCCTCTTTTGACTGCTGTGCAGAGTCAGTTCTGAGAGTCTCAGCAAGGGGGGTGAGAAAGGACAAAGGGTGCAGGGAGTGGGAGGTAAACAGATCTCAAGTGGAACAGGGACAATGGACTCTTCTCTCAACTCAGAGACCCAGAGGGCAGCTGTGTCCTAAAACACAGCTCAGAGGCTGGGAAGGCCCAAAAAGAAAGATGAATGCTACTGGGGAACGGGACAGGACACAAAACCAAAATGTGTACGTACTGTTGGATGGAAAATGAAGGTTCTGTAACTTTCCTCAGTTAAAAAAGAGAAAACGAAAGAAGTCCCTTGGCTGCGTTGTGTTGGACTCTCGATATTTCTATTTTCAGATAGCACACCCTTGTGATCAATGATGTGCCTCTGCTGATGAGTGGCTCATATCAAAGTTTCCCAACAGTTGTCAAACTTTCAACTGGGTAGACGGACCACCCTTTGCCGTTCCGGAGGCAGAAAAGCCAGAATGCTGTGTGCCGCTTGTTGGCCATCCTTCTGGACGCTCATGGAGATATGTAAGCCTGGAGTTACTACTTCTTAACTTGTGAATGCCCTGTGAAGATGAACACCGGGCCGGTCATTTTCTCTTCCTAGTCTCACTTAGGAGCCCTGCTGGTATAGTGGTCATGAGTTGGGCTGCTAACTTTAAAGCTAACAGTTCGAAACCACCAGCTGCTCCACCCCTACGCCACCAGAGCTCCTTGGTAAAGAGTTTCAGTCTCAGAAACCCTCAGGGGCCTGCCTTCCTTGTCACTAGGAGTTGGAGTTGACTAGCTGGCAGGTGAGATTGATTTTGGTTTTAATTGTCACTTCTTGCAGGCAGTTTCAAGCCCAACTTGTTTCCAGAGCCATTTCCAGAAGACAAGTGGGGTTGGGCCCACTGGAGGCCAGGTGAAAACCTGGTAGACGTCCCATCTCTTTTCCACACCCTCCGTTCTTTATTCTCTCTTAACAACCCTGAGACCAGCGACCTGCAAAAGAGCCCCTCCTCCTTTTAGTCGATTCCCAATTCCATTCAATCCACTTCAAACACCCTCCCCCCCAGGGACAGACCATTCTCCTTGATCCCCTCTTCTCTCTTTCTTGAAGGGGCGAAAAGGGAAGACGGGACACTGTGCTGCCTCCTCTTCTCCCTTTCCTCCCTATTTTCAGTCTCTCATTCAAAAAGAAGAAAAGAAAGAGAAAGAAAATGCTACTGGGCCCGTTTTCTCATTCTTTAATATGAGTTTCGAAGTGAAATTAACTACAGAGTTGTCAACATCTAAAACCTCTGCGATGGTAAAAAGTTCTTTTTGAAGTCTCCATTTAACTCTGTGCTCAGATGTAATTAGAATGATTCCCATCCTCAATTACAAGGCAATTTTCGAAGAAATGCCTTTCGTTCTCTTTCGTATTGCTCTTTGGGTTGATTCTCAGCATCCAATCGTAATAGTTTTGTTTTTCTGTAGTCCACAGGAAATATACAGATTCAACTGTATTATGAATTAAAGACGTTTCTGAGGACAAGAATCACAACTCATATTTCGGCTCTGGGAAATATTAACTGGTTAATATTTCATTATCACCATTTCCAAGTTCCATACAACTCCTGAGAACCGAACCTCTGGAACAGAACTCATTTCTAAGCTGAGGACCTAATGTCTACTAGATGCTCCCCGTAGACTCTGATCAGCACCGCACAACGGAGGTGGTGACCCAGCTTTATGCTCTAGGAGACACATGCTCCCAAGACCATCCAATCACAGCAACAGGCAGGGCCTCCAGGCCCCTTGGCAGGGGACATGGTCAATCGAGCTCAAAACCAATCGGTTTATGAGGCAGAGAGTTCTCAGGGACCTCGGAGGCCCAGCTGGGTATTCAAATGCATTTTCTTCTCCTGACACATCTTGAAGCAAGCGCTCCACTGTGATGCACACAAGATTTGAAAACACCACGGAAGCGACTGCAAAGTTGATAAAAAGGTTTCAAGAGCGCAAGTCCCTCCTCCTCCAGACTGCGAACACAGATAATCACTTCCCCATTGCCCGGCACTTACATCTCCGCAGCCTCTTGCTATTCTTTTACTTGCTACCTACAACTCTGGCTTCTTCATTAAGATCAGCAACACTTTAAAGGCAAGTGAATGGGCTTAAACTTCAATAGGTTCTCCCAGAACACCTTTACACTAGGGGGCAGAGTAGGTACCTGGTAAACACAGGTTGATTAGCTCACAAGAGGAGGCCCTGGTATTTTGCCCTCACAAGACGAAGCACCGAGGTCGTGCCAATTCCAATGTCAAACGAGGAGGGTGCCTTGGCAGGTACGTGGAGTCACATCAGAGTGAAGAAGCTGCCCCATAGAGGGAAGAGTCGTTACCACCTAGAAACCATCATCTCTGTGAAACCAGGAATCCTGCGTGTTTTGTTCACTACCAGCAATAGCACATGCTGACCCACTAAAACTGCACTGCTGTTCAATAGATTCCAACTCAGAGAAACCTGTAGGACAGAGTAGAATTGTTATATAGGGTTTTCTATATTGTAAATCCTTATGGAACACACAACCTCATCTGTCTTCCATGGAGCAACTGGTGGGTTTGAACTGTTCAGTTCATGGATAGGAGTCCAATGCTTAGCCTATAGCATCACGTAGTAGGGCCTAAAAGACCATACGTTGAATGAACGGAAAGCATATGAAGCCAGGTTTGTTCTCAGGATTGTTGCTGTGGGTAGCCGTCCTTGGGCCAGTCCCTGACTCATGCCCACCCTAGGCAGGGTGGAAGAAAACTACCCAGACCAGCTGTGGACTGGGACTCGACCTGCAACCCATAGGGTTGTCAATGGCTGATATTCACACGCAGATTGCCAAGCCTGTCTTCCTAGTCTGCTTAAGCCTGGAAGTTCACTGACACCTCGGCAGCACCATAAACTCACTGCCACCAAGTTCATTCCGACTCACAGTGACCCTCTAGGATAGCGTAGAACTGCCCCTGTATGTTTGCAAGGCTGTAAATCTTTAGGGGAGCAGAAAGCCTCAACTTTCTCCCTATGAGGGGTTGGTGTGTTTGAACTGGCAACCTTGAGGCTAGCAACTCAACCTGTAACCCACTCTGCCACCAGGGTTCCTTGTTCAGCATCCTGGCAACACGTTATCTGCCACAGACAGATGGGTAATAGCTGTGTGGGAGGGGCACTGGCTGGGAATAAAACCCCGGTCCTTCCCATGATTCTTCCGGATGAATGCAGCTACACTTCTGATTCCCCCGGGCATCATTTATAATCAAGGAGGAAGGTGACCACCATGGCACGCAGGGTATATGCACAGAGGGGCTGGTTTCATCTCAGGCCTCAGGGAGGACGGTCTCTGGCCCACGAGCCCCAGATCGCTGGAGGGGCATGAGCTCCTGTGCCTGAGAGAAATGACCGGATGTCAGAGCAGGCTCTTGGCAGCCTCTGGGCAGTGAAATGCTGCTCTGCGTGGTCCCCATCTGGCTGGCAGCTTCCTGCCAGGGCAGGCGGCCAAGCAGGTTGTGACAGCTGTCAGGGCATAAGTCCCCAAGGTTCTCTAGTGCATTGCCATTTCTGACCTGCCTGTCTGCGACTCGTGGGAAGTTTTTCCATCGGCTTTCTTTATTCATGAAATGCCTGGCTCTCTCGTCCTTCTAAGATGGTCTTTGGATTTTCTGGTCAATATGCTGAACCTATGGATTCTGGTCTTTGGGGGATGAAGGAGAACTGTAAGTCCACTGTTTGCAATCACTGCTGGTGTTCACTGTGACCACATGATTATACTTGCTTACAAGCATCTCATCCACAGCGAAAGGACTCCTTTCGTGGGTTATCACTAGACGGAATGACCTTCCTTAATTAAAAAATGGTGTCTTAACCATTTACGGCTTTCCAAAATGAAACTTCAAAATCTTAATATTTCATATTTGCAATGTCTCTACTTTAGAGGATTTTGATCCAGGACCAACTGCCCTCTTCCTAAAGCAACGACCTTAACTGAAGTTTGCTGATAAGTGAACTCCAGCTTCCATCAGGAGGCACATACTTACATCCGTATGCCATTCTACCACTCAAAGGCGAAAAGTTGAAAGTGAAATTTCAGACATTACCTTTCAGCATTATTCGTCCAGTGGATCCTCCAAAAGTACTGAGCAGGCTGCTTCTTGCTCCTAAAGAGGTGGTGGCTTCTAGGAGGGACCCGGTGATGTACTGAGAGATGGAGGTCCTTTGGAGGGTGGCACGGAACTCACAGGAGGGGCCCTGGACACATCGCTTTAAGCATGGACCAATGTGAATCCTTCCATGGGCCGTCTCAGATGCTGGGAGCTTTCCGAAGAGATGGAGGCAAGATCCAACGGTATCTTGTGTTTCTTCTCTTCTCACTGCATGGTAGATCTGTGAATAGCACAAAGACACAGGAAGTACTCATCTCGTTTCTTAGAAAAGCAAATCACGCTGTTGACAAAATGCCAAGATGACTTATTAAGAAAGAAGGCTCAGTGGCTCTGGCACAAATACTCTTGAATTCTGGGCTCATGAATTAACCTGAACATTCTGCAGACACCATTTATTTGGGAAAGTTATGTGTGTTATGAAATAGGCCATTCAAACAATGTGGCTTTCAAACACAGCACTTACGAGTTGTACCAACCCAAAGTATGTTCAGCTCAAATGTCCTCTCCTCCCCAGCAGCAAAGTTCCTCTGGCCGGGACAAGGGTGAACCTTTCAGCTTTGTCCATCTGGACTCACCGATAGACTGAGCACCCCCTGCCTGTCTGCCTCTCAGGGACGCTCCAGCCTGACAGTCATACCTTGTTTCTCCATGCTCAAAGTGAAGTGGATGGAAGGTCACAGAGAAGGAGAGCTCCTTTTTTTCTTCTTAAACAGTTGTTTTGTTTTATTTTATTTGCCTTTTTTTTGAGATCATTTTATCGGGGGCTCTTACAACTCTTGTTACAATCCATACATCACCTGTATCCGGCATATTTGTACACAGGTGGCCATCGTTCTTTTCTAGACATTTACTTTCTATTGAGCCCTTGGGATCAGCTCCTCTTTTCTTTCCCTATCCCCCACCCTCATGGCCCCTTGATTGTTATTATTTTCGTATCTCACACGGATGGCTGCCTCCCTTCCCCTCTGGTTTCTGTTTCTTCTTTTTTCTTTTGTGGCCATAAACCTGCACTCCATCACCTGGGATCAAAGTCTTTCAACTCTCTTTAGCTCCTCTTCCTCCTCCTTGATCATCCACATCCAGTGAACTGACAAATCCTGCCCCCTCTGTCCCTGTCTCGCTCACTATCCACCTAGCTTCTCCTTTTCCCACCTGAATTCACGAGTGCTCTCAAGCTGACCTGTCAGGATAGGCTCCCAACTAGTCAAACGCAATTGTTCATCACACCCTTCCTGCAAGGAGCTTGTTGAAAAATCAGAGGCACTGGCCTGAGGAAGTACACTCCTGGTGTTGCAGAATCTCTCAACCTAATTTGGAAAGTAAGGCCGGACCATTGGGAAACGAGACACTTCTGGGTCGTACATAAACAACCTAACATTGGGTAGGTCATTTTAGCTTTCTGATAGTGACACAAAAGTCTATTCTACTGTGGAGTTTCTGACATGCCACTAGGAGCCCCTGACCTTAGTTGACTTGTTATTCATTCAACAATAAAAAAAATAATACAAATAGTTCTCAAGTGTTTATAGTGAACCCTCATTTATCGCGGTTAATCAGTTCTAGACCCTACCGTGATAAATGAAATTCCGCGAAGTAGGATTCCTTATTTGTAAATCAAATATTTTCATAGTTAGAGCATAGAGGACATGAAAAAACACCCTTTAGTCACCATTACACTCGTATTACCCAATTTATTAAATGAAAAAGGGAAAATACAGTAAAACATTTTGGACGTTACAATTATCATTTATTATTTATTATATTATTTATGGCATCAAGCGTGTACAGTATTAGCCAATCAGTGGCAGTAATGACAGAGCATGCGCTGTTACGCAAAAACCGTGATAGAGTGAAGCCGCGGAAGTCGAAGCGCGAAGTGGCGAGGGTTCACTGTATACAGATTATGGTATCGTGCCTGGATCTTCTCATTTAGTAAAGGAGCGACACAGAAGCAGAAATCTTACTCTAGAGTGGAAATAGAGGCCACTCCTCTGGTGACCACCAATGAGCAACGGGATGAGACCACTTTCCCAGACTCTCTAGGGCCTGATACTGCTGCATCCTCCAAATCTCACCAGGCAGGCGGGCACTTAAGACCACCTCCGGTGAACCACGAAAGGTTATTATGAGATCAGAACCCACCAGCTATGCAAACTTCACAAACCTTAATAGATGTATAGTCAGCCTTCATCTACTGACATACACTTGTACTTGATGGAGGTGCACTGGAGGCCTGATGGGTTGCTAACCACAAGGTGATGGTTCAAACTCATCAGCCGCACCTTAGGAGAAAGAGGCCATCTGCTCACATAAAGATGTACAGTCTGGGAAACACTGGATAGGATCACTCAGAGTCAAAAATCAAGGCAATGGCAGAGGAGTACATGGGTCACAAATGGCAGGCCAAGAGCCAGATTCAACCGCATCATTGGGGGGTAGGAAGGTGGAACTGATCACAAGGATCTACATATAACCTCTTCCCTGGGGGGTAGACAACAAAAAAGTGGGTGAAGGGAGACATTGGATAGTGTGAAATATGACAAAATAATAATAATTTATAAATTATCAAGGGTTCATGAGGGAGGGGGCAGGGGGGAGGGAGGGGGAAAATGAGGAGCTGACACCAAGGGCTCAAGTAGAAAGCAAATGTTTTGAGAATGATGATGGCAACCAATGTACAAATGTGCTTGACACAATGGATAGATGGATGGATTGTGATAAGAGTTGGGTGAGCCCCCAATAAATTGATTAAGACAAAACAAACAATAAAAAAACCCCACAAAAAACAGGAAAGTTTACACCATTTCTAGGGTAGGAAAAAAGGAGCAACCTGATACCACTTAGCATTCCATGTGGTGTCCAATGAGATAAAGTATGATGAGTTCACCAGCTGGTACCAATTGTCACCAGTGTCCACTGGTCACCTCGGGCTAATATTGGGTCATCGTCTGCATATGTGTTGGTGACTCTTGCCTTGGTAGGACAGGTAAGCAGAGAGAGGCAGCAAGCATGTCCTGAGATCCGGTTTGTGCTCGGGGTCCTTGTCCATGTGCTGGTTGCTGGGACTGCAGAGAGAAAAGGTGGAGCTCTCTGCTCTTACAGGGTGTTGCTTGCCATCTCTAAGAAACTACTGATGAACACAGACGTGTCTGTGGATGTCAGCTCGTCAGCCACTATTGCCTGGGCAATCTGAAGCTGCGAACTGCCATTGTCATTGTCCACCCCCTGCCACAAAGAGCCAGATGGAGAACCATAAGTTTAAGCCAACATCTGCACGAGCACATCCGTGTCATACCAATATTGGATGAACTGAGTTCAAGGTGTGGAAATGTGCAGGAAGTGATGGTAGATATAGCAATGCCAAAGAACAATTAAGAAATCACTTGTCATCTCTTACTACATCATTCACTTATAAAAAGAAGTCATGAAAAATCCCACCTAGAGAAGAGTAGGCAGGAGCCCTGGTGGTGGTGGTGACACTGCTAACTGATAGGTCAGCAGTTCAAAACCACCACCAGCCGCTCTTGTAGCTCCTCTGCTTCCCAAATGTACAACCAGAGACAAGTTGCTTTGCTGGGCTGTGCCTGAGTTTCCTTTTCTTCAAAATGGGGCTGCACTACAGCCTGCTGTGTAAGGCCGTGCTCAGAACGACCGCTTTGACAAATGCACAACAATCAGAACGGCACCTGGCACTTAGCAAACACTCAACCAAGATCAATTGTTAGGATGATGGTTGGGGCAGACTGCAAAAATGAATGTAACATCTTCCTTCACGACCTCTAGGCTAGCGTTATGATTTGCTTCGACCAGTAAGAGTTTAGGACAGGTGAGGAGAGCGGAGTCTTGCAAAGTCTGCATGCCCCGGAAGTGTCCTCTCTTGCAGCTGTTGAAAATGCAACCACAGCCACCTGAAGAGGCCCATGCGAGTTCGTGCAGCCCCGTCACTGCTGTTACCCTGGCTGTCAGCTTGGCAACAGTTGGTGCATAGTACACAATCCAGGCCATCCTAGACCATCCAATTGCTGGTCTGACCCATCAAGTGACCCAGACCCGTGAGAGAGCCAGCATATTCAACTGACCCTAACTAAGAATCACCCACCCAACTCTCAGCATCATGCCCTCACGAAGTGATGGTTGGGAGAACCCCTCCAGCTTTCTGTCACACATTTAACAGACAGCACAATGGTGTATTGAGCAGGATCATAAATATTTCACATGTGTGAGGTTCGACTCCACAGGAATCCTAGAAGTTGATTTAATTTTTGCAATAATTAGAGAAATACAATCAGGGTTACATGAGTGGTCAGAGACTGAACCAGGATTCAAGGCCAGGTCTGCCCAACTCTGTAGCGCAGCACGTATGGTGCACGGCACCATACAGGGCGCCCCCTAACGCCCAGACAGTGGGACTGCGATCAAGAGGCTCGCATGATGTTTGCAAGGCTGCTGCTGCTGTTGTTTCATCCAGACTCATGCCTTTCATGGTCACCCGACATACTTATGAAATACTCAAGTTATGACTAAGGAATGACTCGACGTGCTTCCTTTATATGGAGATTTACAGCTTCCAATTACAAAAGGAAATAAAAGACCTAAACTTTATCTCACTTGAGTAATGTAGTAATACAAGGTGCTGAAAACTAGACCTACACTACTGATCTCTATGGGGGAAAAAAGTTTGAGATAAAATGGAAGGTCGCAACGTGGCATCCAAGCCACGAAACAGCAATGTGCCCAATCATTCATTCACAACGGGGTTTTGTGAGTACAGATGTATGCCCACTCCCAGGGACCAGAGATGCAACAAGGTGAGAACGAAGAGTTTCATTTCACAGGAGGAGGTAAGCAATAAACAGGTGCTGTTGTTGTTGTTAGAGCTGTTGGAGCCTTGGTGGCAGAGCGGTTACACATTAGGCTGCTAACAATAAGGTCCGCGGTTTGAAACCACCAGCCTCTCCGAGGGAGAAAGATGGGGTTTGGTACCCCCATAAAGGGCAGTTCTACCTGTCCTATAGGGTCACTGTGAGTCAGGATCAAAGCGAGGGCAGTGAGGTTGGTTTCCTTTGCTGTTGCTATGTGCTGCCAGTCAGTTCCGACTCATAATTGCAACAGAGGAAGCACTCCCAGGTCCTGCCCCGCCCTCACAATTGTGATGTTGGAGCCCCCGTGTCAATCCGTCTTGTTGAGGGTCTTCCTCCTTTGTTGCTGCCCCTGCACTTT